AGAGAAAAAGACACCAGAAATCCTACCATCATGCAAAACAGTTAAGGTTCTGTTTCACAGTATTGGCAGGACGGTATACTTCCCTGGGGGGTTGCTGTCTACCAACCTATACCTACTGTAAAGGTAATAAAAAAAAAAGTACAAAATTTGATGGAAAACAAAGAAATTATGCCTCCCAATTTTTGATGTGTCAGCGATTTTTACGAATTAAAAATTTTTCCGACTTTGCTCCCTTTTTGGGGCCAATTACTTTATTCCACGACCAAATTTTAGCTATTTCATAGTGTTCTTCTATTCTATCGATTGACACAAAAACGCCAAGTAACTGTTTCAACTAAAAAAAAAAAGTGAGGGAAATTGGTTTTTGGCCCAATTTAACACAAAGTTAAAAATTTCCAATTTCAAATGGGTCCAGAATAAACAATGTATACCCTGGACTAAACTAACATTTCCTCGTTCATTAGTTTGTTTTGAGGTTTTAAAAAATAAATTCCATTTTTTTTTTTTTTTTCACATAATGAATTTTTATTCACACCAAAAAATAAAGATATTTTTGAAATATTGTAATAATTAAATAAATATCACCCAAAATTTGTGAATGTATATTAGACCCATCAGCGGGCGGTATTAGACATGTGGGGTCGTTTGTTTACTCTTGAACATGGGCAAAAATTTAACATTTCCGCACTTTGAGCTCATTTTCAAGCCATTTCCATGCAAAAAACCAACAAAATCATTCTATTTATGTAATATTTCTTCCATTCTATCAAATGAGACAAAAAATCGCAAATACAACTATAAAAAACATAAAAAAAACACTGCAAAGTCGCTTTTTTAAAATCGAAAATCGGTTTTTTTTTTTTTCTCTAATTATACACAGTGTGCGCAGGATTTGTTTTATTGGTGCACACATCCACATAGATTTACTTCATATCGGGCCCAAATTACCACTCCAGTTTATCGAGTGACTGAGCTCATGGCGTAGATCACGTTTGGCCCCTGAACAAAAGCCTAGATCTAGGACGGCCCCTAAAAGGGGGAGTTCTAAATTTTAAAAAATTTTATGTAACCAGTACTTATTATTTGTTTCTTCAGAGGCACAAACTGTAACTAAACTGAGCCCCTCCCTTCGCCCAGGAGCTAAAGCTCTAAAATCTTCCCTATAGAAGCCCGGTAGCTGAAGCAGTAAGAAGGGACCTTTTAAATTTTGGGGCCCAAATTTTTGAGCCTCTCATTAACCTTTCCTTTTAATTCATTAAGAGTCTTTATTCAACTTAATCGGGTTTTCATAATAGAAATCTGGGGGGATGTAAGAATAGATTCACTATGAAACAAAGAGCTGAAGGGGGGAGTTCATTGTGTTTTCTGTTGGTTTCTGTTATGGAAAACAGTATAGTCGTACTATCCTGAATCTCCCTATTAAAAGCCCGGGGGTGAAAAGGTCAGCAATGGACCCGTCAATTTTGGGACCAGGGTTTAAGCCTCTATCCATCCTTCTGTTTATTCATCCTGCATATGAATTTAGTCTAAACAAAAAAACTGCTCTCAAGTATCATCCCAAAACGATTTTGGAGGGAAAGGGGTAAAGAAAGTACTGTATATCCCCTTTTCAGGAATACCAATAATCAATAAATTATGAAAAACTAATTTAAAAAAATATGGGATTAATTTTTCCTTATTTTTTTGGGGTTTTACGTATCTAAGAACAATTGAGAGTAGTCTTGATGCTAGCTCACACTACTTAGTCTCTCCCTGAAAAAAAAGTGTCAATAAAAATTTTTTTTTAAAATTTAAATAGATTCCTATTTAATTTTTTAAATACAGGGGGCCCTGCTCTACAACCGTTCTCTAATGCAATGGTTTTCAATTAGTATACCCATTTTTCATTTATTCAACTTCCTACAATAAATATAACTCATTTACTTATAAAAAAATGATGAAAAAATTTTAAAAGGGAAGAAGGTAAGAGGTAAAGGGTTGGTAAATAACCATCTAGGGAGGGAAATACCGTCCTACCAACGAATGTAAAACAAAGCCGTATATGTTTTAATGATGGTAGGGTTGCTGGGTCTCTTTTCTGTCTCACATGCAAGATTTTAGGTATGTCTTGTATTCTATTACACTATATTACATTACACATGCTGTAACATTTATGTATACACACCATAATTTTCTTTTATTTTATCTTAATATTCTTGTTCATTGCTTTTCCCTTTTATATCCCCTTTGGGAAGTGGGAAAAAGAATTTTTGCTCTGTAACCATGATGTTGTAAAAGTCAACTAAAATGCTGGGAAACAATGGGGTAGTGATCCCCCCTTTCCTGTATACTTCAAAAGAAAAAGAAGAAAAATGCCAAAGTGGGATGTTTTTAATGGCGGGTGTTGGCGAATGATAAAAAGAGATGATTTTGGGTTTATGAATGAAAAAAACTGGATTGCTGGGTTTAATGAAACCCAAGATAAAGGAGTAAAGGGGTTTTTAGTGGGGAGAATTAAATGAGATTAGGTCAGGGGTTTCTAATAGAGTTAGAGCTAAGAAAGGGAGTAGCAATAATGTTGAAGGATAAGTTATGGCAGGAAAAGAGGGAATATAAATGCATAAATTCAAGGATTATATGCAGTAAAATAAGGGTTGGATGTGAAAAGTGGGATATAGTAATTATTGATGCACCTGGAGAAGAGAGAAGTGTAGAAGAGAGATTTTTAGGAAATGTTGAGTGATGCATGGGGAGTTTTTGAACCAAGTGAGAAAGTACTTGTGGTTGGGAATCTAAATGCTAAAGTGGGTAAAAATGTTTTTGGAGGGAGTAGTAGTAAAATTGGAATGCCAGGGGTAAATGAAAATCGGAGCCTTTAATTGAACTATGTGTAGAAAGAGGTTTGTAATAGGTAATACGTACATATTTTATGAAAATAAGGATAAGTATAGAAGGTATGATTATAGCACGTAATGAAAGTAGCTTGTTAGATTATGTATTGGTTGATAAAAGGGTGATGGGAAGGCTTCAAGATGTACATGCTAATAGAAGGGCAACAGATATATTGTATCATTATTTAGTTGTAGCTACAGTTAGAGTAAGAAGTAGATGGGACAAAAGGAAATGGGCAACAAAAAGAGAGAGGTAAAAGTTTATAAATTAAGGGAGGAGGAAGTTAGGGTAAGATATAAGCAACTATTGACAGAAAGATGGGCTAGTGCAAGTATGGTAGTGGGGAAGATGTTGAAGAGGGTTGGAATAGTTTTAAAAATGCAGTATTACAATGAGGGGCAGAAGTTTGTGGCTATAGGAGGTGGGTGCAGGAAAGAGGAGTGATTGCTGAAATGAAGAAGTAAAGGGCATGATAAAAGAGAAAACAGCAGCGTACAAGAATTTTACAAAGCAGAAGTGATATATGAAGGGCAGAGTATATGGAGATTAAAAGAAGGTGAAGAGTGGTGAGAGAGAGAAAAAGGAGAGCAAATGATAGAGTGGGAGAGGCACTGTCAAGAAATTTAGCGGAGAATAAGAAAAAATTTTGGAGTGGTATAAACAAGTTAAGAAAGCCTAGTGAATGAATGGATTTGTCAGTTAAAAACAGAGTAGGGGAGTTAGTGGATGGGAGCTGGAGGTACTGGTAGATGGCGGGAATATTTTGAGGAACTTTTAAATGTCGATGAAGAAAGGGAGGCAGTAATTTCATGCACTGGTCAGGGAGGTATAATATCTTTTAGAGTGAAGAAGAGCAGGATGAGTGTGGGGGAGATGCATGAGGCATTACATAGAAAGAAAGGGGTGTAAAGCAGCTGCAACTGACAGGATCATGACAAAAATGTTAAAAGTAGGGGGTAATACAGTGTTGGAGTGGTTGGTATTTTTGTTTAATAAATGTATGGAAAAGAGGAAAGGGACCTAGTAATTGGTAGATTGTAT